AGGGAAGAAGGCAGCTCCACTGCCCCTAGCCGGACCTTGAAGGGGACGCAGGAGTGGGGTGGTGAGAGCCCCTCAACTTTCCTCAGACCTGTCCTGCATTTTGTCCTCTTAGCTCCCTTCCAAACCAGAAATCTGCCCCCTTTCCCTTGGGCCACCATCTCACAGCCTCCTGAGGGCAGATCTTGGGAAGCGAAGGAAGAGGAAACAGGGAAAGAGGGATGGTGGCTGGACTGCTAAGGCAGCCGGAGCCCTGGCCTGGGGTCTGAAGGGACTGAGAGTCTGAATCAGGACCAGGCAAGGTAAAGGGGGCTTCAAACCTCCCCTCCTTTCTCACTTTGGTGGCCTCCAGGCCTCTTTTCTGCTTGCTACTCTGTCCCCTGTCTTCTTTTAAAAAGTTCAGCTGACTGCCTCCCTTCTTAGGGTGGAACAAAATCAAAGCCTGGCACAATAATTGTGGGTGTCAGGCAGGGACTGTAAGGAGTAGGAGGGGCAGATGCCCAGAGTGACTGGGGTGGCCCCAATGAGCAGCTAGGGGCGCTGCCCCCACCCCCTCCGTTCATCCACATGCCTCCGCGCAAGGCAAATCCCCACGTGTCTCAGCCGCCTAAGTGTCTTCCACGGAGGTGGGATTATCTCAGCCTGGGCCGGACACCACCCTCCACCTAGAGCCATGGATGCCGCTCTGCTCCTGAACGTGGAAGGAGTCAAGAAAACCATTCTGCACGGGGGCACGGGGGAGCTCCCAAACTTCATCACCGGATCCCGGGTGAGTGGGCCCCCCCAGGACACACAAGGTCTCCAGGCTTCCACATCCAGCTGTGCCCCAAGGCCTTTGACTTTGCCAAAACCCAGTCAGGCAGGCCCTTCCTGGAACTGTCAACCCCGGGCATCTAGAGAGCTCTGAGCTGGTATCCATTCTGAAACTGTGAAGATTAAATTTCAGCATGGGCTGAGGGCAAGTGCTCTTGGGACTTTTCTGGAGCCCTAAGTGTTGAGTGAGAAGAAAGGGCTCTCAGGGATTTTGGCGCTTGTTCCCAGATGTCTGTTGGGTTTCCCTGCACTGGTGTTTCTGTGGCCACAGAACTCGGCTTATTTGAGGAAGGACTTCCTTACACACAGAGCTGTTGAGACTAGGCTTGGGTCCTTTGGGAGGAAGTGGGTTCCTCGTCCCCAGGGGCGTGAGGGCAGGGTGGGGGTGCTCTGGGGGTCTGAGGCATCTGATCAGATTTAAGTGAACTGACCCCTGGGGACAACCCTGGTAGTCTGTGACAGTGGCGGTGGCTTCTACCAGAGCTTGGGTGGTGAGTCTAGATGGGTGTCCACTCTCTCGGTGATCAGGTGATCTTTCATTTCCGCACCATGAAATGCGACGCGGAGCGGACAATGATCGATGACAGCAAGCAGGTGGGCTATCCCATGCACATCATCATCGGGAACATGTTCAAACTCGAGGTCTGGGAGATCCTGCTGACGTCCATGCGGGTCCATGAGGTGGCTGAGTTCTGGTGTGACAGCATTGTAAGTAGGCCAGGCTGGCCCGTTCCCTGGGTTTACCGTCTACGGGGCTTACCCACCTGCTGTGCTGGGCTGCTGTGTTCCCGAAAAGCTGGGGTGAGACAGAGCTCAGAGGCAAGTCCTGTGTCCTCATTCCACCACTGCAAATCCGAAGATGGGCTCCCTCAGACAGCAAGGCCCGAAAGAGAGGACCCGTGCAATGGTTGTGTGGGGGTGGGGCTGTGCCCAGGAGGAGTGAGCCTGTCCACTTCACAGTCCTCACTGCTTATACTGTGTGGCTGGATCCTGGAGACTTTTGGCCATTGGTCACCTCTCTGTCCTCCTCACATGGCAATTTTTTTATGGCCCTCCTATAAATCGCCCTTACACGTTAGCTCCCTTGTCCATGGCTCAGGTAGAAATGGCAACACTCACTGATGTTGGAACAGATGCAGAAACTTTCAGATATGTCAACTTTTGTTGACAACAAGTATCATAAACTTCCAGGTGTCCATCACCCAATGGCCAGTCATGCTTCGTCTGGCACCCCGTG